GGGTACACACGGGCTTTGGAGGTCATGCATACAGTAGGGTAGTCGGACATAGGGTACACACGGGCTTTGGAGGTCATCGATTGAACTTTTGAGTCTTGGAATTGCTGCTATTGTATGTCTCAGACACCTTTAACAACCTTGAGCATCTAGTTTTCTCCTGTGTAAAATGGGACTGATTTTTTTTTTCCTGTTTGAGTTGCTGTGACAGTTACTGCAAAGGGGTGGGGTACATCCTGTGTTCTTTTCTTACCCTCTCTACTGTATTTACAGAACTGGTTTTGCTTCCTTTAACTGGATTTATGGAAAGGAACCCTTGACTCTTTTCATTTCCTACACCTAACCCTTGGTTAATTTGTCTCTACTACAGTCTTAATTTTAATTTATCTTCTTAATAATGATAGGTTTTGTTTTTGAGGAGTGGATGGACTGAATGGAGAGGGCTATTAAAGAGTAATCTTTTGTGCTGCTTTTTAGGTTTGTGCAATTTATTTTTAATCAAAATCTGCTTTTTACTTTTACCAAAATTCCCATTTTTTTTTTTTCTTTTTTGGAGACGGTTTCTTTGTGTAGCTTTGTGAAAAATTCTCATTGTTATGAATCAGCTATAGGTTCTGTTCTCCTGTGCCTTTTCTTGCCAAGTAAAATTACTGTCTTGTCATTTTTATCCAGGGTTGTCCTTTTTCCATCATAAAGAAAAGTGGCTGCGTTCTGAGTGCTCTGTGTGTGGTGATTGTGATGACGGACACTTGAGTCATCGCACTTGAGCTTGATGGCCAGCGTGGCTGACTTGTAAGCATGCGGCCTTAAAAGATCCAGTTGTGCTGTAGTGGAGCCCTGAGGAGCTCCCGTCTCTCTACAAACTCCTCCTCTTTGGGAGTTGTGGTTGTGGGTGTTGGTGACCGAGTGACTGGAAGTCTGGCTGTGGGGTGCTCTTTGCCCTGAACTTTCAGCTACATTTGAATGCAGATACCGACAGTGGACAGGGCTTTCAAAGGTGCAGTCCACTGTAATCTCCTTCCCCTCTCACCTCCTAACCCAGTAAATGATAGGTGGAGAGTGAGGGAGTCACTTTAAAAAGAAGCTCCTGGTGGTACATACCTTGAAACCCAGGTGGGAGGATCTTGTGGGTTCGAGGCCAGCCTGGTCCACTAATGAGTTCCTGGATAGCCAGAGCTACATAGTGAGAACCTGTCTCAAAAAAAATTTAAAAAAAAAAAAAGAAAGAAAAAGAGAGCAGATCAGAAATTCAAGTTTATGTGAAATATAGAAAGTGCCAGGTGATGGTACACACTTTTAATCGGGAGGCAGAAGCATGCAAATCTCTTATGAGTTCTAGACCAGCTTGATCTACAGAGTGAGTTCCAGGACAGCCAGGGCTACACAGTGAAACCCTGTCTTGAAAAACCAAAAAATAAACAAAACAGCAACAACAAAAAAAGAATGAAATATATAAAGTAGATGGATTTAGACTGATGGAAACTGGATTCTGTAAATCCAACCCAAAGCAGGTGTTGAGAAGACCTCTGCAGAGGTCCATA